GTCATGGTCAAAAAATTAGATGTCTTCATGAAGTGGTTTCATTTTGCTTATACATGTTTAAAAAATTAAGAACTACTTTGCCTGAAATGTTATTTATTTCACTACTCTCATCCTTTCACAGAATTAAGCCCAGTTATTGAGATGTGTCTAATGAAGACTAACTTCTGCAAAACAATTACACTTTGTTTGGAGCAGGAGTTGGGCTAGAACTTTGTACGGTACACAGATCACCATGGTTTCTCTCTGAAGTGTATTCTATTCCTTAGACAATGTATATAATCAAATTAATCAAGTATTCAGAAAAAACTCTCCAGCACACTAGCCTGGTTGAACCACTCTACCACTATGTAGGCAGAAGACAGTGGTGAACTTGAGGCCAACAGTAACTGACTCATGATTTTGTTCCTGAAGAAAAAAAAAAAGCAGACTGAACTAATGTCAAACTTTGTACCAAGAAGAAAACATAAGCAAAACATCAATACTGACGCGTGTCACACTTCCTCTCTAGTTCTATTACAAATTTATTTAAACTAATTTCTATGAGGTCTAAGCACTTTGTAGAATATAAAGTCAGCAGTGATTACCTACTTACTTTCTACCACGTCTCAGTCTCCCAAAGGTATGCACTTACATATTACAAAGGAGAAATGGGGAGAACGCTCCTGACAAATAGTTTCTCAATTACACAGCAAAGACTGAAGAACAAGACAATATTTTATTTTGAAAGAAAAATCCCTATTCCTTAAATACAAGTCTGCAGCCATACTTCACACACTCAGACACACACGTGTCAGTTCATATTAACTGTCATTGAGTATCTTTCAAAATGCTATAATGGAAGAACTGAATAAACATCCTGGTTTGAACACTGACAATTACATCTATAACAGGCAGGATCGCACCAGTTGAGGATCTTCAGCTTCTTTTTATGTACTGAACAGGTAAGTATAGCACTCCAGTGAACAGCAGATAAAGAAAAGCCATAACCAACATCAGTTACAAAACTGCAGGTCAACCAGAGCATCCAAGGCTGAGCCCAGTGGCAACTCTGCCCCCATTGCCACGGTGGTTCTTTCAGGGTAATGTAAGCAATAACAGCAGGGTCAGGAAAAATACCTCATCTTTATGAGGATAACCATTTGTGGATCTTTAAGGAGCAGGTAGAGCAACTTGGCAGCAAGTCTGGTGGTAAAATATCAGAGGAGGACACAAGCATACCAAAGGCTAGGTTTCTAAAGCTCATTTCATGCAGCAGTCTTCTAATCATATGTTTACTGCTATTTAAGTAAATACACCAAACAATATTAAATTATGAAAATTAGGGTATCATAATAGTTTTTATAGCATCTCCAGATCTCTGAGTCTTCAGCTTTAACAAATATATTCAGATGCAGTAAGCATTTAAAATGACTGAATTGAGCTCTTGGCTCATGACACATTTGTCTAAAACTTATGCATGTAGACCAAGTTCAGTACCTAGAGAGCAATGACTTATTTCAGAAAAGAAGGGGGGGGAGAAAAAAAAAAAAAAAAAGCAACTCTGTCCTAAGCTTGGTAAAATTGATCGCTCTCTGGAAATACTTATCTCCCTCCACTGACTAGAGGAAGAGTCTGGATTAGCAGATTGTATTAAAAACCAGCATTTTAGACAGCTAAACTTAACCAAGATGAATCCCCCAAAATAGTTATTTCACATTAATATGAAAAACAGTAAGCATTTTCATGGATAATAAAAAGTTGAAGCAATCCATCCATAAGACTATGTCACATATAATAAGAGATATCATCAAAAGTACTCTATAGCCCAACTTGAACATAAATAGTATAGGCTCTATCTCTAGGATTCAGCTGGTTTCCAGACAGCTCCCATTTTTTCCAAGACAGAGCATAACACTCCATCACTTGCAAGGTATCTAGAAAATGCGATACCGATAGCATCATATATTTTGTCTTCCAAGCATTGTTCAAAAATTCATGATACAAGGTAAATAAAATTCTGAAATATACTCATTCCATAATTATCCAGTTCTTAGTAAAATAAGTATTTACTATTTTCTGAAAAAGCATGTCTGTATCTAACATGTGCTGGGAGACTGTGTTTTTAATTTGGCCAAGTGAATAATACAGAAGAAGTTTGGATCAAATCAATCTTCATAGCTTTTTTTTTTGGGTTTTGGTTTTTTTTTAAAGAGTAATTAATACATCTGTTTCTTCTGTACTTCATCAGTACATGTGGAGAATGTGACTGGCAAGAAAATACCAATACCATACTAAATAATGTAATCAACTAGAAAAACAGAAATAATGTTTCACCAAAAAAAAAACCCACACTTTCATGAAGTGGGATAAAAAGCTCCCAGTGCGTGAAAATCAGAAAGCTACACTTATTCAGATCCTGGGACTCATACTATTGATTCTCAAGTGCAGAGTCTACAAATATATGTCGACCAATATCATCCTCGAAAATGAGGAGGGAGCTCTGTTTCATTAAAAATTAAAACCGAATGTAAACCGAAATGAGAACAAAATCAATGGCTCACACCACCAGATGCCTACAAGAAGCTACAGAACATGTCATACAGGAAAACTATAAAAAAATTCAACTGTTCTGAAAAGGCATTATTCACACACTCGGTGAAACTGGCAGGAAATAGCATATACATGTTCCATGTACTTAATTTACGTATTATTTTCTTATGAGAGCAAACACAGAGTGGTTGATATCGATACACAAAGCCATAAAGAGCCATCAACTAGTCCTATAAAAAGGCTCTTGTCTCACCCTCTTCTACAACTGTATTCAGATAATAAACGCTTGCCAAGAATAGATCCAGGAGCTATCCACAAGCTATTTTCAACAAAATCATGCACGAGTCCATTTCCCAGACTGCTCTGACACATTTCCTGATTTTTAGTTCCCAGGACAAGTGGCTGTGTTTTTTGGCCCAAAGATGACCTGTGTGTTTTTTATTTGCAGCCTATACATAAAATATGGACATGAGCATTAGGGAAGGGAAAAACTATTTATGGTAAGAACAACAGCAGCAACAAACAAGACAGGAAACAGATTATGGACTCATTAAATTCCCTTAGATTTACAGCCTCCACAATCCTATAGGGAGGCTTTTCTATAACGGCACAGCTCTAATGGTTGGAACCATTCTACAGACTGAAAGTTTACACCCATCTAGTTTTGTCTCGAGACTGTCTTTTACCTTAAACAGTTTTCCTCCAAAGTGTATTCTTATCATATATTTATAAACAACAATCTTCCCTGCTCTCAGGCACTCTCTTGCAAAATTAAATATACCACATCCTTTTATTATCTCCTACAGGCTCCTCATGATTCAGTCGTCGTTAATACTACTTGCCATGCAGAGCCCTGTTTGAGTGTCTGAAATGTGTGTTGCCAAAATTCTACAAAAATATCCAGGGCCTTGAGAACAGCTTCGATGCTTCCTTCTTCTTTTCATTAGGACTGCATAGGCAACTTCCACAGCCACATGCCACACCTGACTCACACACACAAGCCACCGTCATTTCCAGCGATGTGCCTCCAGTTTGTAGGAAATGGTAAGAAATTTCTCCTAAGCTTATGACTGTCATTTCCAGTCATCTCATTCTCCCTGAATGACAGTCCAGCCTCCTCACAGCTGGTTTCCAGCAAAGTTTTGTACAGTTCTTTTGTTACTATTCACTTCTGCTTTTGAACTCGGGTAATTGGGAATGAAACCTGTATTTTGACATTTGTACTGCATACTAGCAGCTTTGGTGCTTCAGAAGTAAACTTTTTTTAGCACCATCCTCCTAAGACTATCTCTGTCCCATGAAACTAAGCACAAATAGCTTAGCCATTTCCCTTGTGCTGCTGTCCACAGAAACACAGTCTATCCTTAACATAATGATGCAAAAGTATCACATAGTCTATGGGATAGACTGATTCATTTCATGTAGTTACCCCATTAGTTTATATGGGGGAATATCCCCCGGAATTTCCTCCCACTTGGCAAGACTGCTCGTGCTAGACTGTGGGTGGGGTATTGCTCCATGTGAAACACATATACCAAGGCAGTTATCCTGATCAAATAACATATTTCAGTCTCAAAGGCAGGAATCTTTTAATTAATACTCTAATCTGAAATGCATAGGAAGAGGCAGGAGGAGGGGAGAGCAACTTGTCAGAGGAAGATACCCAGCAAAATCCATGCATCTCAGCTACCAGCCCCAACCTGTGTCTATTCAGCTACAACCAGCTATCTACCACAGTCAGTCCCCCAGGAGGCTGTTTCTCTACGCTCTGCTTCTTGTGGTGTGGACTTTCTACATTCTACAAGCATCCAGGTTGCTCTTCAGCTTGTGGCAGCTGAACCTTTCCTAGTTTCCTGAGCATCACCACCTGAGTACCCCTGCCTCGCCTTTCAGACTGCTGCCTACCTTGGCTTCTCCAACCCCCGACTTTTAACTTGGCCCCATTGTGGTGCCTTGATATAAGCACTGAGCAATACATTTTCCAAACTGCCACCAATTCCAAACCCTTTTAGGAACATCTCAAATGTTCCTGGTGGGGAAGTGTTTTGGCTTTTTTAATTCCAGCATCATATTTTATTAGTACTACGTAGACTGGGGCGGGGGCAGGAATCATAAATCAACACTTGGAGGTGAGGTAATAACCACTAGGGTCTCTGTTCAACGCTCTTTCGTAACACAAACGTGCACCAATTTTGGCATTTCATTTAGCAACATACCCGCTATTCATATTATAAGGCAGATTAGGCACATTTTTAGAAATTGATAATTTTAGCTACTATGCCTGGTCCCACAAACAAAAAAAACTTAGGACTATTATGGAACAAAAGCCTGGTTTTAATTCTACTGTATAATTTATAAGTAACTTGAAGGTGTTGGGGATCAAGACTTTAAAGGATCACATTAGCTGGACTTGAGAAAGCAACACAGTGACATTTAAAACCCAAATAAGAAAAACACAGTACAATACATACCTATATCATATGCAAGAAAGTCAGCAGAAAAGCACTTTGCACCGTTACTCAGGGAAGTATCATTATGAGTGTTGCCACCAAAAATGAGCATAGCTCCATTGATTAATACAGCTGAATGAAGATACCTTGCAAAACCACTCTCTTTCAAAATAGTCCTGCAAAATGTAAGAATAAATTAATACATATTAACACATGAAAAAAAACTATGCATACACATAAATAATATTTATAGATTAAAACAATACAAAATACAAGGAAAGCACTAAAGCTATTAATCAGTAAATATGATACGTATTCTGATTGGTTTTAGGATGATGAATTTTCTCATGTTATAACAAATATATTTAGCGTTCATTTAAAACATCATGCTTTTTTTTAAATTAAAAATCCAGTTTGTCAAGTAACTTATTGGAAATAAATTATATCATGTTTACATTCTTCAGAAATGAATAATGGTGTGGTACATTTTACACAAAACTGAATGAAAACCCATTTATATTATTAATTCCTATTCTTATATATTCTTAGCCATGGTGGGTTTTTACTGAAGAAATGCAAGAAAGAATTCTTTAGAAGTCTAAAAGAATCTTTAAACCATCCTAAGTATTGGATTTTTTTTTTTTATTAATTGAACAGTCCGACCTGGAAAAGAAATGGTAGAAGCCATTCTAGTTATGAGGAAAAACACTTGCACTGCTTCATGAATATATTTGGGCAGGCAGACTCAAATGTACAGAATTTCAGCACAAAAAAAAAAAAAAGTCCATGCACATTGAGTCTTTGATCTTTCTTCATTCATTTTAGCCTGTATCTGTGTGGTTTGCTTTGCGCAGAGCAGTAACATGGGCCCAAGAGTAGCCAAGAGCTATCAGTACTACAGTTTTAAAGTGGCAGCTGTGGGGCTAGTAGAGAGAATAGAATACCAACCTGATTCAATCACAGAAAATAAATCTTACCAAGGGAGAGAGTAACCATTTGTGGGTTTTGCCAGATTGAATTTGTTAAGTAGACCAGCTGTAGACATGTTTGTGAAGAGCTGATTAGATCGCCAGTACAGAGTATTATTTGCATTCCCCTAATAACCTCTTATTTGTCTCAGTAATCTAACAGTTTTCAAGTTTAGACTCTCACTTTCACTTGCGTTACTGCATGCTGATGACACCTACAATTTAACTATTTCCTGTAATGAACATACTGACGTGACAATCTTTCCTTCTGATTGCATCACACTGATAACATTTGTTCAATATTTTTACATCATCATAGAGCTTGGGGGAGAGGATTTAAAGTATGTCTCATTGTTTTGACATAATGATGCAAATCAATCAATAAACTCGAGATATTTTAAGTGATAAGAGATCATATGTTTAAACAAGTTGAGAGGAAGGCATTAAACCCAAGTTCTCATATTTCCATTTAAATAGAGACACCCCCCCCCTTTCCCTAAAAAGTAACATCAAAGGAAATACCAAAGACTAAATGAAAGTAAATGAGATTTCTTTTTTTTTTATTGCTTAAAAATGTGATAATTGCTTCAAGCCACCAGCATACCCACCAATGTGGTTCTGTTTTTAACCCTTTTTTTTGTTTTGTTAAACCAACTTGCATTTTTGTTGTGTATTTCTGATTAACATACTTTGAAAATAGAGCACAATGTAAGTGTGTTTTTCTAACCAGGAATTAACTTGATACAGAATACTTACGGTACCTACCCAGAAAAACATGGTATTTGGTTTCAACTCACCAGTTAGCAACATACAAAATTATGAATGACAAAAAAACAAGGCATTCTTTTTAACAGTTCTTTTCAACTAGTAATGGAGGAATACTGCTGCTATGATTTAAAAGAATGATAATATGCTAACATGTTGTCCTTATCCATTCAGACTATAGATTTCTTTCTGTCTTTTTTTGCTTTACCAGTTTTCTACAGCTCCTACCTCCTAATTTACATTAATTGCTACACACTAGGCTCTGCCTTGATTAACCTGCCTTGCAGCTGTCTACAAATAGTTGTCTTGATCAATAAAGGCCTAAAGAGCAAGACAGCATTCTGGGGAAAACTAAGGACATTCTCCTCTCCACAGTGGATATAACAGCAATCCCCACAGTTTTTCGTTGGGCTACTCACTTTTCTACTTGTCACCCAACTGCACTGCCCCAGCCCTGGTCCCCACACTGTACAGGGTTGGGGGGGGAGAGAGGGGAGGCAGGTGGTCGTCCCTAGTTTTTGCATATTGTGTGCTGAGTTTCATTGCTCCTGATAACAGTAACTTTTCCCCAAGATTCAGCAGAAGTGTAATACAGACCAAGTTTGTTAATTTGGCCATGATTTTTACTATTCATTAGCATCACTGATGAGAGCAATCTTCAGAACTCTCCAACACATATCAACCCCATGCAAATTATGTGAGAGTCTCAGCACACTTTGCACTGAATTCATTATTTATGCACATATACGTGTATCTGCAAACATTAGTCCATATTAACTATACCGATGCCAAGTGTTGCATACAGCAGCATGATATTATAATGGTAACAGAAACACCCAGGAGCCAGCAGGTGCTTCCACTCTTTGAGGCCATTATCTAAGCCCAGCACCACATTGCCCCCCAATTGCTAACAGTACGCAAGTAATGCAAAGCAATGCAGACATTACAAACACTGTAATTCTCCATCATATATTAGAAGTAATGTTCACACTAGGAATTAAAATATCACCCCCTCACATTCCAAGAAACATAAAGCCTATGCCTAATTGATATGAAGAAAAGAAAACCCACATGCCACTGAATAAAACAAGTAATCAGCTTTGGATACCAAGACTTAGTGAAGCATATGAACCTCAGCCAGATCAGACAGAGAAACAGAGAATGAGTGCAAGAGAAAAAACAGACAGTGAGGACAAGCAAATGTGAGTGTCAAAAAAGGCATGTACATAGGCATGAGAAAGCCGTCATGATTCTACCTCTTCCTCGTACCCCACCTAGTCAGTGGCACGGTCAGGCCCAGTTGCCTCGCTGAGTGCTTTGAATACTGATTATAAGATATCACAGATAAACAAAGATTTTATTACTATGTAAGTGTCATTACCCCATCCTCTCAGCCAGTTTTCAGTCCCATAGTACAATTGACTTCCAGTGCAATACTCATGAAAAAAATAAAAGAGTTAAGTTCTCTGCAAGCTGCAGAGAATGCCCCATTAGTATAGATAGAAGCATTCGTTATTAGTTTTTATATGAATAATGAATGAAAATATTCCAATAATTATTATTATATTGTTGAACAGACCTTCAAAGGATACAATATCACTTTGTTCCAAGAATAGAGTATAATAAAAGAGCATTAAAATTCCAGCAATTTAAAAATACGTTAAAAGCGACAAAAAATTCTTGTAATAAAGTTTCCAAGTGCCATGAGTTAGTGGCATTCACAATCAAGAGTCTCAGTGAAATCAAACCCACATGCTTCCAACATCTGAGAGCTAGTCTCTCATGCTTAAAGTTAAGTCATTCGTGCTCAACACAAATATTAAATTGCAAGAATAAAATGGTCCAAGAAATAGTTCTTGATCTCAAATCATCTCTAAAGAAAGAAATAACGTTTAAGGTCACTTCCTATACATGATATATAAGTAGCATCCGTAAGTTACAATAAACTTGAGGGACAAGGAACTGACAAAAATAGACACACCAAGAACATTAATAACTGAGGATCCCTACACAATACCAGGAATTTTCTCTCTTATTTCTGATAGTTTTGTGAAAAATCACCTTCCACAGTTCTTAGATTTCTCTACTGATTTATAAAATAAGAGGTACTTGAATGTGCATCAACAGTATATTCATATCACATAGAAACAGTACACGCGTACTACTTCTGCATGGTGGTTATGTCTGGATAGAACAACCTTTTCTTAATTTGTAGAACATGTGGAAAGCTTCCTCTCTGCCATTCCTTCGATGTCTAGCTCCATTAATCCGCTGGCTAAAGTCTAATCCCTCACCACAATTCTTCCATTTTGTTGCAGAGAATGCACTGTTCTGCAAGACGCAAAGGCTATGGAGGTGCCTACGTGACTTTACTAGAACCTTACTCTATACTTACGTTTTCTTTTTCAGTAACAAGTATCTTAGTTTCCTATGTTATAAATCCACTTTCCTACATTATAAATCCACTTACCACGTTCGAGTATTAACTTCGTATCTGTAAAGATCATCCACTAATCCATATTTATTGCCAGGTAATGCTTTGTATCCACCATGGACATAAACAGATTTTGTCAGTTCATCATAGACACTGGTATGGCCATATCCACCTTGCACAATTGCTCCTTTTGTTTCTGGTACAAGCCAAGAATTAGACCCTGGAACAGATGTACAAAAGACATAGGCTTAAGGTTTACTATTGCTAACACACAGTACTAGGAGCTTTAAGTATATAAAGTCATTTTAACTATAATTCTAAATACAGTAATAACTAGGGACTTGTTTTAAGAAGCAATTTTATACCAATGTATCAAAATATCTGCAACTGGATAATGTTACTAGACTATTATCTGCTATTCTTAATTAAATCACAAATACGTCATTGTTACAGGTGCCAGGCAGTATCTCATACTTTCCCATGTGTGAGTTCAGCACACACGCACACAACCAAAAAAAAAGCCCAAACCTTTTGGAAAATATGAAATTAAGAGTTACAATTAATTCTCTCTCAACCTTAACTCTGTTCCGCCAGAGCTGGCTGATGAGAATTCAGTGCTCCAGCTACTTCAGCTGCATTAGGAACACCTGGAGTCAATCATGGGGAAACTGTCTGGAGAAGCCTGGCAGGAACTGAACTGCTGTGAGCTGCAAGAAGCATGTAATGGAAGGTAGCTCAAAGTGCACATGGATACAGATAGACACTTTGCTAGTAAACTGTAAAATTACTGAGCTAAAATCAGCTTCCAACTACTGTTTCTTAGTTTTTTAACTGCAAATATACCTACTCAGTTGCTGCAAACCCACAAAAGGATAATTTGATAGCAGCTCATTAAACTGGCACTTAAATCCACATTTTACATCACATCATTAATAACTGCAAAGAGACAGCAAATAAACCCATTCACAATAGCTGTTATGACTGAAGAATAAAACACAATTGGAAACTATTTCACTATAGCTATAAAAAAGGCAGAGAGGTTAAGTGACTTCTTGTTGCCTGTGGCCCTGAAATTTCCATTTTTTCCCCCTCCATCTCCCCAGCTGATGACACAAGCCACAATAAGAGCAAGCCAGGAGGTAAGTATTTCCTGTAGAAGCCACCCTATTCAAAAGAGCCTATGATGATTAGGCAGCCAGTTCTATGGATGTGAAATGGAAGAAATAATTCACCTACAGTCTCTGTCAGAAGAATAGAAAGTATGGACAAGGACTTCCAAAATGGAGCAGTCTCCTAATTCTTAACCTAAATTGGCTGCCATTATGAAGTTATTTCTCCAAGGCTAGCACACACCACCATACACTTTGCTTCATCTGAAAGTTAGTTTAAATTCCATTTCAATTTTTATCTGGTATTATGCAGGTAGTTTACGATTACCTCTTTCACCTGCAGATTCTTCTGTTCAGTGAAAAGACTCATGACTTTCAGTTATTACTGTTGCCATTCTACTTTCATTAAGTGGTTTCCAGGCACTGCCCCTATAAGCAAGTTACATTTTTTTCAGTAACGAGTGCTTATTGCAAGTTATGAAGTATAGATTAAAACTGGAAGACTTGTGCTGATTTTTAGTGTGTTTGAATGTTGATACTTGTGTAATACACTATTTATATCTGACACAGTATATTTACATTATTTATATGTAGTGTAATGTAACTAGTATTTTATTCCATTCTCTAGTTGGATATTATCAAGCTATTAAGAACTGCAACTCTGAACACAAACGTCAAATTTTTACCAGTAATACTGTATTTTACATACATATTACCTTGCTAACAAATAGATTCATGTGATACAATTTATGTAAGAGGGTTGGTGAGGAGTCAACCTGTATATACATCTTTCTATCACCACCACCACCCTCATTTTTTCATTTAAATAGTGATCAGTCTAAAGGTTGGCATATATGCTTTTCAAGGAAAAATTACTATCTCTCCACATAAATTTACACAATGGTGTTGATCATATGCATAATAGAATATTTTGCATTGATATCCGACTGGTTCATGTAGCATTTAGAACACTGTCACGGTAAACTTGCATATCGCATAGCTTTACATAACTTGTGCAGAAATATGAATAACTGTTCCTTCTTGCGTAATAAAAACCATATGCTATGGCTAACTACCTAAATTTGAGAACGGAGGTCCAGCAACATCTTTCTGAAATAAAAGCCAAAAGCAGCATTGCAGTTTCTCTTTATTTCCCATTCTAAAATTTAGTTGAGCTGCCTGAATTTTGAATACCGAAATGTATATATGCAATTTTGATCTCTTTCACACTTCAGCATCTTTTTGCATCATTCAGACAAATGATACACTTCTGTCTGAATTTAAAGACATTACTATGCTTTGCTTTTATTTTTTCTTAAACACTTCATTGATGTAGATCTTCACCTTTTTTTTTTAAACAGAAATCCAATTTTTATTGAAGGTATTTACATAACACTTCTCATACTCAAAGAGATCCCACTCTTTCTATCATTAGATCAGATGAAGTACTCAATTGACCAGATCAGTCATGCAAAACTCTACATCCTCAACAGCTTAAAAGCCAAATACAGAAAGAGCTCTGTGAATAAACAAACCAGAAATAAGGAAATATGATTTGTTTTAATTTCACAGGTTTCAATTTGTAAGTCTAATAATTTTGAAAAAAATCACAAAAAAGATTCATTCCAGTAACAGGGGCTTCTACTTTTCATTTGTAATTTGACGTTTTACTTCAACATCTGGGCAATCTTCCAGAGAATTCTACCACATAAATTTTCTCTTGAAATGCTTAGGCAAGTCACTATGATAACTTCAGACAACTAAATCTGTCAGATACTAAACAGCTGGACACAGTTTCATGCTGCAATATTCTGGTCACCTTTGTCCAACAGAATCATGCACTTCATGTCCAGCTTTACCACGACCATTTCCAGGAGACTGATCAAGTGAAAGAAAAAAAAAGAAAAAAGGCATCTACAAAAACATGTAAACAGAAAAACAAATTACAACCGAAATAGAAGCTAAACTCATTAATTTAATGTACTGAAGCCGGGGGTGTGAATACCTTCCAAAATTCTGACAGACACAGCAAGTGAAATTGCAAGCCCAGTAGCAAGCATTTTAAACAAAGCTGGTTAGATATTACCAAAGAACAGCAACCATAGTGCTGATATTAAAGACCAGAGGGAGGAGAGACAAGATCTGGACAATTACAGACCTTAACCTAGGCTCAGTAATATGCAAAAGTTTAGAACACAGGTTTTTAAAAAAAGAAAGATAAATAAAAATCCTTGAAATAATGGGAAACTGTTTCACTGGACAATATAAATGTACCAAACCATTTACATCGCATTTGCCTAAAAAAAAAAAAAAAAAAAAATTATCTATAGAAGGAAGCGTAGGTATTCTCAGTATCTGGGCTTCAGTAATGTCCTTACTATAGTAAGGGAATGGGAAATTAGTAAATAAGTCATTATAACAGAATGGGATTGAGAGGTGCTGGTATTACCAGGGAGACTTCTTAAGGATCAGAATGGGTGCATTTTAAGACACTGTCACAAATTTAAGGTGTAATAATTGCACAAATTCAGACACTATCAATTCACAGAAGCAGCAGGAAAACATACAGAGTGAACTGGATGATCTTGGCTACTGGAAAAAATGGATCAAAATTCAACAATAACTTAAAGATATTGTGCACTGGGATTAACAACATGAAATTCTAAAAAATGGAAGCTCATCAGCTGATAATCACTGAGAAGAATGAGTATGAGCACTGCTTCATCAGAGAAAGTGTATGAGCTATTAATGACCTTCTCATGGATGCAGTACAAATGTCATTTTACTACATACCAAGTGAGGTGTCCCCAGTAAAGTAGGATTAAGGTTATTTAGCCAGGCACTGGTGAAATCTCACCTAAAATAATCCCACAAGCTTTTTGAATCATCCCTGTTCAAGAGAGATTAACTCCATGTGGAAAAGGTACAGAGACGAACTATTAGAATGAGAGCAGAATAGATGAGGTGGCTTTAATTAGTCTTGCAAAAGGGAGGATTGGTATCTATAAATGTAATTCAAAAGAGAATTCCAGGAAGGAAGATGAGCTGCTTACATTAAACAATGTATCACCCAGAAAACAAGTCAATATAAACTGGCCATTGATAAAGGTAGGCTATGAATCAGAAGATGCTTAGTCACTAAAATTATAACCAATTTTCCAATGACACTGTGAACAAAACTCAAACTGTTTAAGATTCATCATCATATATTTTTGAAAGGAATTGTGAAATATGGTGTTTACATTTAAAAAGCACCGCTTTTGATGGCCAAGATGATAAATTCCAGCCTTTAGCTCACAGGAAGTTAATCACATCCAAAGATGTAACATCATTCCATCATCAAAGAATGCAAAGCAAGTGAAATAAGAGCAAAACCTTCTTCTTTTTTTCAGTTCATTTCTTTCTATGAAACTGATTAGGATGGCCAAATCAAGAAAAACTGCAAGTCTGAGGAATAATCATTTTATCATTCAAAACAGAATAATTAAAATACCATTTTGAGATAAAGTGGTTTCTCAAAAGATGTTTGAAAAAAGAATTTTTTTAATATGCAGTAATAAATCCACTAAATAAATCCAAGGAAAGGTAGATACATTGGCCTGATCTGTCCTTACCACAATACAATCTTTGAACAGATTAGGTAAAAATAACAAAATGTCCAAGAAGCACCTTAGTGTGACATCTTCATTTCACTGCAGTGACAAACTTTAAAATTTTTCAAGCAACCACGAACCTTATGCTAACTTACAAAAAAAGAAGAAACACGTGTTACATCATAGGGCCGTTTCTTTCAACACTATTTCAAAGAAACATTTTTAATCAAAAGCAACTTATAATCCACTTCTAAAGTCATAAAAATTCAGCCTAAAAAAACCACGATATGCTGCTAATCCAAACAAATCTGTCTTCTAAAACAATAAAATAAAATCACAGAAGACTTATTCAGAAACTTCTGAATATAAGGAGCTTTTATAAGCCTCAGCTAAAACAAAACACCGTTATGATATTCACCTTGAGACTCACATTGAGATTCTTAGAAGGTTTATGAGGTATTGCTAACCTAAAGGGAAATAAATTTCCCTGGGGAGTAACCCAGAAAAGCTTTATGGTTCAAGTTAGTAAAATCATTCACATAATCCTCATACCAGGATTTATTGGTTCCTCAAAAGTCGTAAGTCTAGGTATAGCAAGAAAGGACAAATAGGAAGCTCTTTTGTTCCTGCAACAACCACCATACCTTTGGAGTAGAAATGAATTCCCGTGCTTTCGCATGGTGAAAATCTGCCTGCAAGCCATGTCTGATTTTTCTAGAATGTATTTGACTTTGATAGAAATTACTTTCTTCGCTAATCAGACAATGTCAGAGAAATTTTCAGACCACGCACACATTTGATTCACATGTTTTGTTAATAAGAACTACATACCTATGTGAAAAGCTAGGGAATCCACAAATAATTTGAACTTCTCTAGATGTTTCTTGACCCAGACCCCATGGAAATCAGGCTCACTAGGAGCCTTATTAGACTAAAGAAGGCTTTAGCACCACAATTCCACATATCAAGTTAATCAAAGTTAATTAACTGGACTAGATCACTAGAGGTTTCAATTCATATGAACCAAAGGGTAAGCTGCCTCTTGCTATGCCTCTCTCTTTCAGTAGGCATCTGGTAAATGCTTGAAAAATAGCCTTCATTAGAACTAAAAGCCATGGCTGATAACATCTAGAAAGAATAAAGCAGTACAATTTGAAATGTTAAGGCAATGTATGTTTTAAAAGCAAGCAGAGAAAGAGAAAATGGGACTAATTTTTCTCTCTCCATAATGTCAGAAGCCCTTTTTTATAACAAATTTTCTTTCTTATTCAGGTGGGCTCACAGCAATACTTCTACCACTTTCTATGTCTTCTAAGTTTGGATTCTGAGCTGTTAAAGCCCCAAAAAACCTAGTCATTCTTAGTTCAAACCACCATCTGGAATTTTATAGTTAAAAATGATCCTACAGCTGCAAAACTGTAGATAAATGCTACAGCTGACACAGAATTCAGGAAAGTTTGCCACAAAATTCATTTAAGTTAGGAGGGAGATGCAAGAGGTAAAATGAAACATGAAAATTATCCACAGCAGAAATGGTTCAGTTACAGCATATGGACCATGTTCTGCAAAGCACTGTGTGCCCCAATGATCTTTCATCACATGAGCAAACTCACTGCAATCACTGGGTTTCCACAGTAATACCCTATATTGTTACAAGTTTACTTTGTATTTGATGAAAGTGAAGCATACGTTCTCTAACAAACTACGTTTCTCATTAGTCTGTGATAAAATTATCATCTCAGAAAGGAGACATAAAAACTTGAGAATAATTCAGACCCTTAATAAATGCCAGAGAAATAAGTGCTTTCTCCTACTCAAAGCTTGTCACCATGGTATGGAAGGTTTGGGTTTTTTGGTTTTTTTTTTCCTTTGTCTGTTTTACATATGCTTAGTTATAGCTTGTTTTATTAATCCTCCACAAACATAGCTTTAACATTAAAAAAAATTAAAATAGGAACAAGCTGCACATTTCAACCAGAAGGCCAGCAATAAAATCCACCAGAGAAAATTTTACACTACAAAGTGAATTGTGTACTCCTCATCCTTTTCATTTCCCTCTTTGTAATTAAACTAACCACAATAATAGGTGAGAATAATACTGGTACTTCTACTCCAAACTAAATAAGCAGCATGTGAAGCAGTAAGTAATTCAAAGTTCCAATAGACATTAGAGTGAATGAGCATGCAGAAAACTAGAACATATCTTTATCTTCAAGAAAAAAAAAATTCTCTCTTGTACGTTAGAAAAAACACTTTCAGAAATTAAGTTTTTCAAAAAAAAAACCTGGCCTTTAACACTTAACAAATCTTACAATACTGTTGTGAAACATCATTCTAAGACCAGAGTTTTATAGTAGGTTTATGCAGTTCAACCAAATTTTTCAGTGTGGATAAAGCACATCACGGTGCTCTTCTCCTCTTACTCCCATTCTCTTTTATCCTTGTTCAACATTATTATAAAATTTCAACACTACCATCACGAAGCATAAGAACCTTCTAAGTTTTGAAGGGATTTCCCCACCCCATAAATCTGATTAAACAGTGTTTATATACATACGCATACATGCAAAAAGAAGTAAAATACAACAGTTTATTATGCCTTAACATACAAATATTACTTCAAAATTTTGTATTATGCGTTCTGTGATTGCTTAAATAACTGAGGGACTCAGATCAATTCTATAGAAAACAAGGAATCCAAAGAAGTAAGAGAAGATTATAATTTGAATTTGTGGGCATATAAATTTTCCTAAAAATGTATCAGAAGGTGTAGATTTTCATGTTTATTCTATTGAAATAATATCTTGGATGTACCATGTATAAGAAAAAAACCTATCTTTGCTTATTTAATTCTAGCATCTAAAATCACCCCTAAGAAAAGCTTGACAGTTCACAAGTGAAATCCCAGAGAGACATGGCAGGTGATTTACAAAACTTAATGTTAATTTTTTCTTATTTCCTCTAATAGCAACATGTAGCATACACTTTAGATAGAACCCCATATACAATGAGGAACTAAGTTATTACATTTTGAAAATCAGAATGAAAATATTACAGCAACATTAAAGAACCTTCAAAACAACTAAATTACTGTAGTAGGCACTGTTTATTGTATTCTGTTTTGCCCTTTCTTTTTTTGTTCTACTTTTTTTTTTTGTTTTTACTCTATCTACTCTGTGGTAAAAACAGTAAGACTGTGGTAAAAAAGTAAGTTCCAACACAACAATAACCACTGCATGGAATTTCTGATTTCAGCCTTTACCCCCTGTAGAGTACCACAGCCATGTACAAAATAACACATAGTCAAAGCCATTATACTCCAAATATGTATGAAATGCTACTGCTTAACAAGAAATCTGATCTACGTAATTTGAAGGAAAAAAGATGAGGCTTTATTTTGCAAAATACATACTTTTCTTTCTGAAAACAGGAGTGTTCTTCACTTAAAAAAAAAAATCAGGATTTTTTTTTTTTAAATCAGTACATGATAAAAACAATTTGTAAGTGACTTACTGATGTAGTATTCTTGCACAATGCTTGTGTAACCATATATGGCAGAATATCCAAAAATGATAATCATAACTACATCTCTGTTGTCCAGCTCTACTATGTGTGCTGAATGACCTTCCACAGCATACTGTTGGCCGTGTACAAGTACTGCAGGAGTTCTGGTACTCCATGTTTGACTGTGTATGTTGAAAATCCACAGCTCATCAGTAACATTGCCATTATTTGTTTCAATTTTGCCTCCATACATGTAGATGTCTTCCTGTAAAAATTAGAAGGAAGAGAAGAAGATAAAGCAAATAATGGATTACAGAAAGACAACATCTGAACTGCATACTTCTGTGCTGCATAATATTTCATGACTGAACAATCTGATTTAAACCTTCACATTTAACTGATACTACATTAACCAGCTCAATATCAGACACTAATCCCAGACAATAATACTTAAACTAAACCAACAATGATGATAAGGAGACCATTTCTCTGAAAAATAAACCCAGCCATGAAAATGACACCAAAATGAATCTCAACCGGATTACTTCAAGCAGAAAATCTTTAATTACATGGCTCTTCTAATTCATACTGCAGCATTCTATTAGAAAAAAAACTAACCCAAAAGAATATTACATTGTTTTCTTAAGGAACAGTTCACAGAACTGAAATGTGATTTTCCACACAGTCTATGGGGATTTCATTCAGCATGTGCACAAGAGAGCACATTCTCTCTTAATAGCAAAGTAACTTAGGCCCCGAGAATCTTCACACTCATCAGAGCTCAAAGAAAAGGGCCAACGTGTGCATAGCATCCTCTTGGGCACATTTGCTAAAATCAAATCCAACAGGTGGGTCCTCCGAGTTCTTTTAAAGGGATGCAAAACAGATTTTCCAGTCTTCATGAACCACATACCTCAAACAGCAATGCCATCTGTTTTCATAAGTAATGAATGATTTACTTAAATACTAACTGAAAGAAAATCCTACTAAATCTCAAACTTCATCTAGAGTAGCAAATCAAGGCATACAAAGTCACAGAACAAATTCCAGCTTGCACAGACTGGCTCAAGGACAGTTTATCCTGCGTAGAAAAAACTGCCTCATGTTCTGAGAATGATACTTAGTCTTTGCTAGGACATACCAGAACCACATACACTCTGCATCCCATCTGCATGGCATTTGTACAGTTGGCAGTTGTCTTCTTCATACTGCAACATAATATTCTAGGGTTTACCCTAAATTCAATCTTACCTGGTTAAGAAAAAAAAAAAAAAAAAGCTGCAGGCTTAGCACATTTGGCAAAGTTTTGCTTGGCATGTAATACGGAGCCTCAGAAAAAGAGACTAGAAGATAAAGAAACTACCTAATATAAGAAGTTGGATCAACCATGCGGAAATTTCAGATTTACTGTACAAAGAACTGATGGAATCTAAATCAAAATGTAAACTGCATGCTATTATCACCATACACATTAAGAAAGATGAACTCAAACTGGCAGGCATGTAAAATATAGATGATCAGTAGAATGACAGTCTACTTAGACCAGCAAAACAAAGGCCTGAGTGGGTTATAATGCTGTCTATATACCTAAGGTTGATGGTAAACAATAGAGTCCAGGACCACATGAAAAACTTCCTCATTACCTACAGAGATTAGTCAGTAAATGACTGACCAAACTGTCTGACCTGTCTTCAAGAGTACACTTGAAATTTATGCAAGATTTTCAACTATATTTTCATTTCAGGAAGGTAAACATGTCTTGATTTGGAAGTTAAAGTTGCTCCTATTCAGTGATACTCTGTGTTACCAATTAGTTTGGACTGGTGGTGTTTGAACAAAAGATGTTCACATACTTCAACAGAAATCTGTAGTAGGATTAGATAGAGAGATAGGTATCTGAACCCATTCTTTTCCTATGAGATAAAATAACATTTCAAAGAGCTTGGTGAAGACCCACAAAAGCTGTAAGGAGGCTGTGTACTGATCCAAAGGAATGGTTCAAACACATATTCTTAAAAGGATCATATAGAGCTCATTCATTCCACTGTCACATCGATCTCAAAAGACAAATCAGCATTGCTAAAATAGTGGACTAATTTATTTATTTATTTTTAAATGTAGGTAACAGACTACAGCAGAAAGAGGGAGCTAATTAGAGAGTTACAGGTGCTGTATAACAGTATTTGGGAAAAAAAAGAAAAAGAAAAAGAAAAAAAGATTTCTGACACTGAGGAAAGACACTACACAAAAAAAGTGACCTAAAGAGCTGCATGAACTTCGAAACGATTACTCAAGACAGCTGACAGTAAGAAAGTCCTCCTCACAGTTCTGCTTAAATGATTCAAAGTTCAGATAAAAGAACACTTCTGTGAGGAGAAATCTTTATAAATGACACAGCAGATCCTGCACACAAGACTATTCACAGAGAAAAAGACAAGAAGGTCATGACAACTGCTTTATCAACCACAAAAACAGATTTAACTAAGCTTCGCTCAGGGCTATTTCTGAGATTAAGAAGCTCCTAGTGCTGCTGAAAAACACTTTAAAAGTTAGTGATGGTCACCTGAACATGAAGAAATAAAAGCTCACAGACCAAAGTCAGTAGAAGAAATACAGAATAAAAAAAATAAAATTACATGCAGGGTTATACCGGACAAAAATAACATCCTAGGTATGTAAAGGTGGACATTTGTCTGGAAAGCCTAATGATGAGATTGTAGGAAGGATACAAGTGCAAATGGTCCTAAGCAGCCTAAAAGATTGTGAAAGAAAAGAAGGAGTCCCCTTATAAACTTATACTACCTTTATAACTTACTTATAAACTAAGTATAAATCAAGGTATATGCTAAAGGTGAGGTTTTCTGACAGACACAACATACAAGATACAGAGCTTCAAGAGTGCTAGCACACAAAAACTGCTGAGCTTTAAGTGAATCAAGCATACTAGATATTTATTTATAATAAGATAGCACACCACAATAGGAGTGAGATGAAAAAAACAGCGAAAAATATAACACTGAGAGTCCTTGTGAAATTAGTGAGGAAAAACTGTCAAGAATCTGGCCCAGATGGAAGATATTACAAGTTGTACTTCTCAGCCTGGAGGAGAGACAAGACCAAGAAACAGACTGTCCAAGGAACAGACAGCAAAACAGGCAGATAAGCACCAAGAAGATACAAGCTCTCTGACACAGCCATATTTTAAAGTTTTGATACCACGTGTCAAAAGCAATGCTTTTAATCACAGTGGCAGATAGTGAAGGTGAGTATTTGCTCAATAAATTAACCGTGATCATTTTAGATATATTACTTCACGTTAATAAATTTATCTAAGAAGTTACATAAACCTTTAAAAAAAAAGGTATGTTTTTTCAATGAAAATGTCATATAAATATTACCATATGCAAACTGAAGTATATAAAACTACGCTGTATATTGAACTTGTAATTCAAAGTTCCTGCTCAGTAGGGAATTCCAGCAAAAATGAGAAAATTCTCGCTGTAAACCGAGCAGGTAGGCAGCTCACTCATTCATGACATTCCTATCTACAGATCACATCAGCTGGTTTCTTGGCAATTGTCCAGGTACAAGGCAACAAAACAGCCAGTAGAGCACTACTTAGCTTCAGCGGAACCAAAATTTTCCAACAGATGTTTCCATTTTCTCAAATCAGCTTTTTTCTTTGAGAAAATTATTTCAGTAGAAATTTTTGATGAACCATAATGATAAAGAAAGATGACAAAAGGTATATGAGGTAAATAGTTGACTGTCCATATTGGGCAGAGAGGATGACAGCAGAAGGCAGGAATCATAAGACCAAAGCCAAGATTTGAACAAAACAGTTAAATCACATTTCTCAAAAGAAGAAGAAAACATTCATTTGGTCTAGTATTTCTCTTACAGATTAATGACCAACACACACATTTCCACTAGCCAAAATGGAAACAAGAGAATAACTCAAATACAGGAGAAGAATTCAAAGTAAACTCTCACCATTTAGAAAGCCTGCTGGAGGAATTAAGACCATTTAAGGCAGTAAAATTCCTCTTAATTTCTTCACCTTATTGATATCATCAGCATCTTCGGACAATGTGGTTTTTTAAATAACCAAATAATTCAAATAAAATTAAATGCCTGGTCCGAGAGGGTAAAAAAGAGGGAGCAAGACTCTTCTCAGTATTACCCAGTGAACAGACAACAGGTGATAGACACAAACTGGATTACAAGAAATCCAATTTAAATGTAAGAAAAAACATTTCTTTTTACAGTGAGGATAGTCAAAGACTGGAACAGGTTGCTCAGAGACACTGTGAAACTGAATATCCTTGGAGATATTCAAAACCCAACTGGGAGAAGCCTGGAGCAACCTGCTGTAGTTGATGCTGCTTTGAGTGCAGAAGCTGGTCAAGATGATCTCCAGAGGTCCTTTCCAACCTCAACTATTCTTTGTGATTCCGTGAAAACGAATTTTTAATACGGGCACATCTGTGGAGAGCCTCTTCCTTATTTAATGTTCTATTACAAACAATAACAAAAATAATCCATTGGGTGATCATGGACAATATCCAAATTGTAAAAATAAAAATATTTTTCTTTAAAAAAAAAAAAAACCACCAACACAAAACCAGAAATTTTGAAGAGTCACTTACTTTGTGTGACTGAACAGATGACGTAGGAAAACCAGAGTTCTGCTAAACAAATAGCAATTAGCTTAGCAATGTGAACTTTATAATTTGAGGGCAAAATTCTTTTAGAAGCCAGAAAGAGAATAAAATCTTTCAATGTGCATTTATCCTTAGAGTTACAGTAACGAAGAAAGTCAGGATCTACATGAAAGCACTAATTTCTGTAAATTAACAAAGGCTCCAAATCTAAAAATAAATCCTCCTTTAAGTGAGCAATCATAAATTAACATGGTGATTTGTCCATTCAAAGTTTCATAAAAACTGACAAAGTAACTCACAGAATTTCCACAAAATACATAAATGCTTATTTTCAATAGAGGTAAAAAGATTAAAAAAATTTCAAAAATGACCAGTGATCCAGTATCCTTTACTTCAGCTGTCTCATGTTCCTGATTTCCAAGGCTGTGTACTTGGTAATTCCTGAACAATCATCCCCCAACAGTATCACCTAGCTTTTGCATAGTAGTTTTAACAAGATTTCAAATCGCTTCACAGAGGAGCATTTTACAGCGAGAAAAAAAATGAAATAGAGCAAGGAAGTTACTCAACAAGATCACCAAAAGAGCAAATAAGAGCACCC